GCAAATGTTTTGAGAATGATGAGGGCAATGAATGTACAAATGTGCTTTATACAATTGATGTATGTATGGATTGTGATAAGAGTTGTATGAGCCCGTAATGAAATAATTAAAAAAATAAAATTAAATTAAAAAGGCGTTTATTTCGTTGGTCTGAAATCCTGGGTGAAATCGTGGGACTTCAGTGTCATTCAGTAGAAATAATCAGGTTTTGTCTAAACAGGTGGTTTCATTTTAGACTAATGCAGTAGACAAGAAAGGTCGGGCTTGTTTATTTACCAGGTAAACACACCGACAGAATGCCTATTATATTTGGTACACTGAAACTGACAACTTCATTATTTTCATTTATTCTTATTCTAATTTGAGATAACAAGTACTGAAAATCATCTTTCCTTCTAGCTGTCCATTGTGAATTATTTTACAGCAACTTCCTTGGGGGTAAAATTAGAAACATACAAATAGAGAACATAGACAACTTTAACAATTTGTGAAGCTTGCTTAATAAAAGGAGTACTAAGTGTGGGGAGAAAAGTGTATTTATGTTATATATCTATCTCCAAGAAGGCCTGGTGGCAGTGGCTCAAGTGCTTGCTGAAAACGCACAGAAGGTGGTGTGAATCAACCGCCTGCTCTGCGAGAGAAAGTGAGGCAGTCTGCTTCTATCGAGACTGGCAACCTTGGAAACCCCCAAGGCAGTTTGACCTGTCCAGCAGTGTCACTCAGAGCAGGAATTGGCTCCCTGATAATGGATTTGAGTTGGTTCTACCTACATTTTACTCTACCCCTGCCATGAACAACTGAATTCCTTCATTCTCCAACCAAGTGACCTTTCTCTATTCACTGAGAACCGCATTTCAAACTTCAGTGAGAAGAATCTTAACCGAATGTATTTAGTTTCACAGTTGGTAATACACATAATTATCGAGATTCATATATACTGATGATGAAATTAAAGAAAATGGCAGTAAATGGTACACAAACATAAAACTAACATAAAACTGATTACACACGAGGATTCATACTGTATTCTGAGTACCAGGAACTTATAAAAAAAGTCCATTCTATTTGAAAAGAGCATGCTAAATAACAAGCTAAAAATTCCAATGTTACTTTTAAATATATAAGTACACTTTATATATATATAATCCAGCATATGTGAACTAAAGCAAAATAGTAAACAATTGATCTCCTTTCAAGTAGTCAGAATTGCCCTAATTCTCTAGAATAATCTTATCACTAGTCTCAAACAAGACTTAAAGCATTAATAACAGACAAAAGACAATCCAAATACAATTTTTTAATAAAGATAATTACAAAAGATGGAAAAATCAGCTCAGAAAGGCCAATTGCTTCTTTAATAGATCAGTTTTTGACATAATAATACATCAATTTTAAATAGTATCACGTAAAGCATGGTGGAGAAAAAAAATTTTGCTTCATAATTAGAAAAACTCACAATAAACTTGCCAAGAAAAACAAAAAACGAAAGCTTTTTGTAAATAAATACAGTCCATGCCAAAGTAGTATAAAACGAAGCCAAAAATCTCCAACAAGAAAACAGTTTTCTTCTCAATTATTTTTTCACTCTTTTAATGGTTTCCTGAAACTGGTGAGACTCAAATTCAAGGGTTGCTGAGCTGTTCTGATTTGGCTCTGTTAAAAGAATTAACAAAATATTACCAATGGCACATCCTCAGTTTAAATGCACTCACCTATTGGTCAAGTCCTGTAGGCTGATGCCAAGAAACATGAACTGATCATGGCTTTCTTTCTAAGTTTGTTTTCACAAGAATGCTTTCCCTTTTTCTATTCTTGTAGGTTCCTTAAACTATTCCAAGATAACTGCAAATGTTAGTACAAATTGTGTGACCAAATATTTGCATGATTTATAATAAAAACTGCACTGTTTTTATTTAAAAATTGTGTACTCCTAGTCTTGCCTGTAGGTTTTGGGGGCATTAAAAATAATAAACTTTACCATTTTATTTAGCATATACAACTTCAACAATACATGTACAATTCAGTGGTGCTGCTTATTACATTCTTGGAGTTGAGCAACTATACTCAACCTTCTTTTCTGGGTGGTTTCTCCCAAACTCAACACCCCTTAAGTTATCTATCTAATCTTTCAAGTTGCTGTTATCGATTGGATCCCAATTTAGATAGATCTTAGAAGAGGACAATGCTCAAAGCACTGTTTACTAGTTAAACTATACCGAGATTTGGCTTAAGAAAGTGTCTGGAGATAATTTTAGCTTAAGGTTTAAAAGATTGCCTCAGGCCTTTACCTTTCCTAGGATTCATGCAGACTCAATGGTTCCAGAAATTATGGATTCCATGAAATTTAGCAATTCTGTTCTTCATTAAACAGCCCCCCTCTGATCAGGATTCTTCTGCAGAATCTTGGATCAGAACACTTAGTAGTTGTTTACCCAGGCCCCATCCAGTGCTGAATTTCTGGCTATTGGGTACAGTGCTGCAACGAATGGTGCTGTGCAAGTAAGTGTCTGGTCTCTGCTTGGTCTACAGTGGTTGGAATACAGTGGTTGATTCACATGATAGTCCTAGTTTTGTTGAGGAACTAGCACATTGTTTTCCATAATTCCTTTATCATTGTGCATGCTCACTAGCAATAATGAAGAACTCCAAATTTTGTCACACATTTAGTATTTTTATCGTATATAATCATTAGATAATACAATTTACCCTTTGGTATCTGTTTTTTCAGCGTTATTGTCCTTGGATTTATCTTCTTCCTTAACATCTAAAAACAAAAATTGAAAGACAAATAAAACCTTATTTTGAACTACACATACAAAAAAGCTTAACTTATAAAACATAAAATGTTGTCACATACAATCTTACTATTTATGAATTCAATAATGAAACACACTTACTATGCTAGGTGCTATGCTATATGAGAGAGATTCAGGCTGCTAACATAGCAACATAGTCCCTGCCCCTTAGGAACGTCCGGTTCTTTGGGATCACAGCATTAAAGTTGGGACATGAGCTATGAAGAAGTTGAGTGCAGTCATGAACACAACACTGTGGGAGCTGGGTAAGTATCAAAGAAGTAATGTTTGAGAGGAATTCTGAAGAATACATTTGGATGGGGAAAAACAGAAGTACCTCAAACAGATGGTAACTATGAAGGAATTGACAGATTAGAATAAAGAACGGAAAGAAGGCCGGCAAGGCTGTTGTTTGTACTCTTAGAAAGAGGAGAGAGATGAGTCCAGAGAGAAAAATCCTATGGTCAATATCTTTCATTTTTAACCTTCACTCTGTAATTAATTACTGTTACAGTGTAAGTATACACTGGATTCAACAATTTTAATAAAACACAAGCAGCACTACTATATACTCAAGATCACTGAAAAAATTTACTCTGCATGTGCCAAAATTTCTTTAAATACCCAAATAAACCAAAATTAAGAGGCATGACCTAATAATAAATATATAAGATATATTGTTCCAAATACTACACACAGACATTTTAGGGGAGGTACACACATGTATTTAGGAGCTATTATTATTATTTATTTTTTAAGAATCATTTTATCTGGGGCTCATACAGCTCTTACCACAATACACCCATCCATACATTGTGTCAAGCACATTTGTACATTTGTTGCCATCATCATTTTCAAAATATTTGCTTTCTAATTGAGCCCCTGGTATCAGCTTTCCCCCCTCCCTCTCTGACAAATCCTTGATAATTTATAAATTGTTATTATTTTTTAATGTCTTATACTGACCGATGTCTTCCTTCATCCACCTTTCTGTTGTCCGTCCCCCAGGGAGGGGTTTATATGTAGATCATTGTGATCGGTTTCTCCTTCCTCCTCCCACCTTGCCCTCCTGGTATTGCTACTCTCATTGTTGGTCTGAGGGGTCTATCTCTCCTGTATTCCCTGTTTCCAGCTCTTATCTGTACCCGTGTACATGCACTGGTCTAGCCAGATTTGTAAGGTAGAATTGGGGTCATGATAGTGGAGGGGAGGAAACACTAAAGAACTAGAGGAGTTTCATATTTCATCGGTAAATATACTGCACTTTGACTGGCACGTCTCTTCCTTTTGACATAGGAGCTATATTATATAGCAGTTGATAATCTTGTCAAATTCTAGCTATGTGCACTTAATAATCCAAATACCAATATGGGATGTGGGAAGAAGACTAAAGGAATGGTCCTAGCTCTAGGTCTTAGCCTATATATGTAGTTTTGAAAGGTTTCCATAGTAATATTCTTTTTATCAGTTGATTGGGAGATTTTAACAATTGCAAGGCCCTATTGAGTTTCAGGACCATATAAACTAGTAGTGTTTTCACAAAAAAGTTATAAAACCAGCAACAAGTGTACTGAAGAGCTATATACTAACTCTAGTCCATTAACCTAAATCAAAGGCACTCTTTTTTAAAACTCTATTTACAAAGAAGAGAATAAAGACCTAAAAGTAAAAAAAAAAACAACCCAGAAAAACTCTATTTATTGCTAAAATATCAGTGACATGCAACCTATCAGAACAAAAAGAACAGAATATAACTTTATAGATTAAAAGACACTTCAAAAAAGACATTCTAAGACATCCAGAGTGAGATAGAAGAAAAATGCTATAAAAACTCTACATTAAAGCAATGCCCACCTTACCTCAATAATACCTGAGAGGAATTTCAGGATGCCAATAAGTAGATTAGAGCAGATTGTGGTGCCACCATTGTAATACAACAAGAAGCTAATTATAAAATAGTAGTTAACAATAAATACCCTACAGGGGAGTGAATCTAGCAGTAAAAGAACAGAATTAGATACAAAAGATATGCTATGGATTCCAAAATCTCTTTTGCAAAATGAAGAACAAGAGCAGTTACACAACCTCAGTACACTAGATACAGAGACAAGATGTTGCACCCAATTTCCCACATGCTACAGAGTCCAACTTTACAGGTCCAATGAGATTTGTACTCATCACCACTACTCACACACAGGTATGAAACATCAATCAGGAAACATACCAAGTGCTGAGAATAGACATATTTCACATGCTGTCTTCCCTGAAGGAGAGGAGGAGCTCAGGCAGAGCAAAAGGGAGACACAAAAAACCGACAACGAAGTGCTTGCTGTAATAGGACATGTTTCAGTGAAACAAAAGCAGCATTTACCAAGTGCTCTGGGAATCCAGTCTTAAACGCTTCCTTTCTTCTAAGACAAAATGCTCAGATAACATTTTGAAGGTAAGGCATCAGATAGTAGTCGATCCTCCACAGCCCAGTTCCCAAATGCCAGGTTATTTTCTGAACAAAATCTTTGACCTTTTACAAAATGATCAAACAGGTCTAAGGAAAATATACTTCTTCTTTTGTGTTTTATTCCCATTAGCAAACCTTAGGTAAACCCTGAATTCAACTCCACTGCCAGCAAGTCAATTCCAACTGCTCACAGACTACAAGTGATCTATGACCATTTTGGTCTCTTATATAATGTATATTACAGTGTGTAATGCTTACTATTTTATGCCTATGTCACTAAGAGAAGGTCAATGAAGCTTGTATTATTATAAAACCAAATGTGAATAACATTTTAAAAATCTCTTAAAAATTTACTTCAGAATTAAGCACCAATTAAATTAAAAAATAAGACACCTCTGAGGGGCTAGCCCCAATCCCAACTACGTAGAAACCTGTCCCCCTCTCCTCAGAAGAATTTATTCCAGAGGACAGCACTGAATCTGCAGTTCAGGGAGAGGGACATGTCTGATCAGAGCACACGGGAGCAAATGAAGGGGGAGGAAGAGAGAGAGGAGCACATCCGGCCCACCAAGCCTTGACGACGAGATTCCCGCTCAGAGCAGCCAATCCAGAAAAAACCATATGGCCGGCCAAACTATAAGACATGACATCCCTCACTGACCCACAGCCCTGCAGGGAACAACACTGGAGACACAGTATGGGAATTCCCTCTGATCTGATCCCACCTCACCGAGGCAAAACACTAAGGGAGTGCAACAGAACAGCAAGGGGAACCGAACAACGAAGGACCCGGGGAATACCAAAAATAGACGTTGGGACCAGGGCTTGTCGCCCTATCAGACTCAACCAGAAAACACTCCTAAAGGCCAAGAAATAGTCCTGGAACTAACTACAAGCTTTTCTTTCTTGTGTTTTGTTTTGTTTTCTGTCATTGGCTACTGGTGTTGTTGGGGGAGGAAAGGAAATGATGTTAACAAACCCAGGGACAAGGAAACAACAAATGATCCAAATCGGGGGTAAGGAGGGTGTAGGAGGCCTGGTAGGGTATGGCCAAGGGTAATGTAACCGAGAGGAATTACTGAAACTCAAATGAAGGCTGAACATGATAGTGGGACAAGAGGAAATTCAAAGGAAATAGATGAAAGAGCTAGGAGGCAAAGGGCATATATAGAGGTCTAAATAAAGGCATGTACATATGTATATATGTTTATACATGAGGTTGTGGAAATACATCTATGTGCATACATTTATAGGTTTAGTATTAAGGTAGCAGATGGACATTGGGCCTCCACTCAAGTACTCCCTCAATGCAAGAATACCCTGTTCTATTAAACTGGCATTCCATGATGCTCACCTTCCCAACACAATCACTGAAGACAAAGCGGGTGAATAAACAAATGTGGTAAAGAAAGCTGAGGGTGCCCAGCTATTAAAAGATATAGCGTCTGGGGTCTTAAAGGCCTGAAGGTAAACAAGCAGCCATCCAGCTCAGAAGCAACAAAACCCACATGGAAGAAGCACACCAGCCTGTATGATCACAAGGTGCTGAAGAGATCAGTTATCAGGCAGCAAAAAGCAAAATATCATATCATTGTGTGCTCACCTCCCCGATAAGATCCCTGAAGACAAATGTATGCATAAGCAAGTGTGGTGAAGAAAGCTGATGGTGCCTGGTTATCAAAAGATACAGCATCCAGGGTCTTAAAGGTTTGAAGATAAACAAGTGGCCATCTAGCTCGGAAGCAACAAAGTCCACATGGAAGCAGCACACCAGCCTGTGCGATCACCAGGTGCCGAAGGGATCAGGGAACAAGCAACAAAAGAACAAAAAAAGCTTATCATTGTGAATGAGGGGGAGTGGAGAGTGGAGACCCAAAACCCATCTTTAGGCAATTGGACATCCCCTTAGAGAAGGGTCGCTGGGAGGAGACGAGCCAGTCAGGGTGCGGGGTAGCAACGATGAAACATACAACTTTCCTCTCGTTCCTAAATGCTTCCTCCTCGCCACCACTATCTTGATCCCAATTCTACCTTACAAATCTGGCTAGACCAGAGGATGTATACTGGTACAGATAGGAACTGGAAATACAAGGAATCCAGGGGGAATGATTCATTCAGGACCAGTGGTGTGAGTGACGATACTGAGGGTGGAGTGGAAAGGGGGAACCGATGACAAGGATTTACATTTCACCTCCTCCCTGGGGGGAGGGGCAACAGAAAAGTGGGAGAAGGGAGACATTGGACAGTGTAAGATATGACAAAATAATAATTTATAAATTATCAAGGGTTCATGAGGGAGGAGGGATTGGGGAGGGAGGGGGAAAATAGAGGAGCTGATGCCACGGACTTAAGTGGAGAGCATATGTTTTGAGAATGATGAGGGCAATGAATGTACAAAAGTGTTTTATACAATTAATGTATGTATGGACCCATATCCTATACTCTCCTCCTGTACTTGCGTGATTGACTTCGGGATGTAGTAATGTCACTCATTTAAAAAGCTTACAATTAAAACACAGTGACCAAATGAAGACTGACCTGCTTTTTTGTCTTCTGTTTCCTTCTTATCTTCCTCGATTCTTGCTTTTTTTGCTCCTTTCTTATGATCAGCCACATTTCTACGACCCCCTTCTCCTTCATCCTCAGAATCGGAGAATTCTTCATCACATGCTATCCGCTTATCTGATGCTCGAACTGACACATTATACAGATTTTAATATATTTGACATGAAATAGCACAGGATTTACAACGGTTATAGAGTACTACGTACAAGTCCCCTAACCATTCACTACTTAAAAATACCAGAAAATAATGTGTAAGTATTTTAAGATCTGTACTAAATGCATAGTCTGTTTAGTGCTAAAAACGCAAGTTTGATTTAGGAGGAAATAGTTCGAAGAAACATTAAAAATATTTGGGGGTTTTATTTAAAAAGCTAAAAATTAAGATTCAGAGAACCCCCCCAAAAGCCTCAGACAAATAAAAATGTCTTTAGGATCGTTTTATACCTATCAATATGCTACAAACCTAGCAGCAACATTTAGTGGAACATGAGGATGCAAATTTAATAGGAGCTTAATCTTATCCATACCTTATCTTACTTCAGATACCTGGGATGTTTTCTAATTATTACCAAATATGCTTAAGTGGCTAACTATGTTAAGCATATTTTCAATGGAATTATGTAGACGCATATAAACTGGAATTACGGATAAACCTACGGATAAACCATGCTTCGAGATTTAAAAAGTGAAATCTACCTCTGACTAAAAATGGATAAAGTGAAAATATTTTTCTCATAAAATTCCTCATATGTGAAATTGTTAGACTACAAAAATCTTCTATTTGTTCCAAGTCAACCAAACTCACTGTTACTACAACTCACAGGCACCCTATGGCTCAGCGTAAAACTGCCCCCAAGGGTTTGAGACTAGAGGAAACAGAACGTCTCACCTTACCGTCAAGTGGTGTTGGTGCAGACTTGCTGGTTAGCCGCCCAAGTGGCAATCCACTATGCCAAGGGCTGCTACAATTAGCTAGTGATGCTTTAATTAACCAGAGAAAGGTGGCACAGTGCACATCAAGGCTTTCACTTACTAGAGATTCTCTTGTCTGGATCTTCTCCATCTTCATCTCCACTGTCTTCATGGACAGCATCCTCGGGAATAGCCTGCATTTGGACACCTGGCGCATGAGGTAACATGCGCAAATTTTCAAATAAACGCTGTCTAAATTAAATAACACATAAAAGTTATTGGACCCAATTTATTAGAAGTTCCTTTTCTATGCATGAGGAAACATTAACAAGCCCATCTTTTATCCAGCTAAACCTATGAATAAAACAATACTAACGTTGATTAAGCACTGACATATTTCACAAGGTAATTCAATTGATGCTTAAGAATTATAAGGTAGGTACTCTATCTGAGCAGTGAGGAACCTTAAACACACCGAAAACTAACTTGTCAAAGACTACATAGCTAGTTTGTACTAGAGAGGATGTACACCCAGGCAACCAGGATAAGGAACCATTCTAAACACTGCTCATAAAGATAAGGCATTCATTATTTATCAAAACATGTCCAAGAATAAAAATTTTTCATAGAAATGAAAATCTTCTGCAGATTTAAAATCTTCTCAAGTGGTAACAGAAATGTATGATCTATAAAGTCCATACATTTCCATTAATTAAAAGCTAAAACAATCTACTATATAGCTTCCTATATGAAAGTGCATCGGTTATCAAAACAGTTCAATGATTTCTTACTTGATTTTTTCCATATATTCTGGAGTGTTCTGGTTTGTCATGTTTGATGGACTTATATGCAATTTGAAGTCTGGTCCAAAATATTCAAAGTAATCATTATATGGCAACTCTATTAAAAAAGACCAACTCAAGTTACATATGAAAAGTTCAGGTTTTATATGAATCCATTAGCAAGCACAGATGCAGGTTACGAAATATTTCAAAGAAAAAATTTAAGACTGAGTATTAATTGAACAAAAAAATGCTTGTTTATATACAAAGTGGCTTCTTCAAATACTTCATAATCTTTTAATTCCTTTTTCTCACAAACTTTTTGAAGTCCTATGATATCAATCGTAAATAAAGATATTGTATTAAGAACTTACCATTAGGAATTTCACAATCAAGGGCAACAGCAGTTTCGTATGTCCAACATCGGGCAACGTTACGAATTGTGTATCCACCTCCCCCAAGCATCAACAATGGTAAGTTAAAAGTTTTCACAACTTCTACACATTTAGCATGACCTAACACAAAAAGGAATCAGATAATAACAAATCTGCAGTTAAGCTTTTAAAAATCAATTTTAAAAAGATAAAAATACAAACCAAATGTTACTCAGCTCACATTAATACGTTTTAATTTTTAAAAGTCAAGATGTTAAAATTTCAAGGAAATGTCCAGGACAACTCTTTTATCAAATACTTTGTACACAATGATATTCTTTACATAAGATATAAATAACAATTTTGCCAGGTAGAAAAGTCAAGTACACAGCTAGGTTAAAATATAACAAAATAAATAAAACATCAATATGTTGTGACGAGGAAGATGGTTCACACATCAGGCTACTGGGAACCAAATCAGGTTACAATGAAACACAACGCACAATCTAGACTGATTTTTTTGTTTTCATTTCCCCTTACAAATTACGAAGGTCATACCACAAAAATTTAAAGAGAGTTATCTTAGGTATATTATGGATATTTTTCTTTTTATTTATTTTTAAAATCATTTTACTGGGGGCTTACAGCTCTTATCACAAATGGATACTTTTCTTAATGGCTTAAAAAGAATACCTATTACTACTAAAAAAAATTTTAAACATCTTGTACATGTAGAAATTTGAATATAAAAATCAAGCCTATCGTTAAAAACAATTATTCCCTCTGGATGAATGTCAACATTTAAAATTAATTAAATTACCAGTCACTTCTTCAGGTATAAAACTTAATAAAAGTTGGGTAACATGATAAATCTTTTGATGCTGCTGTTCTAACCCCTGGTTACTACAACCACAGCTCTCAGGTAAATGTACTGTGGAAATGGACATAGGGGAATTTTTTTTGGTGTTGGGATAATATGGATAGTTAAATGCTCTATTTTTATAATGAGAACTGGATATTACAGAAAATTTCAATGAAGTAACAAAATACGGTATTTTTTAGAAACAAACACCCAAAAGGAAGCAACCGAAGGAGCTTACGTTGTTCACTAGATGTGTAAATAAAGAAATGAACAAATATGTAATTTGCTGAAACAAGAGTAGTTGTAGTTATAAAAATCAATTTCAAGCGAACTTTAAACAAAAATGCATGAAAAAAATAAAGCATACAACTCTTAAAATAGGCAAAAAATTATGACCAGAGCATTCAGGGGAAGCTGGGGGTACCAAAGAAAAAACCTGGAAAGGGGAAAAAACCCTCCAAACTGGTTGCCACTGAGTTGGTTCCAACTCCTAGTGACAGCATACTGCTCAGAGCAGAGCTGGACAGCGCCTAAAAAGATTACAGCCTTTCAGTGAGTTTGAACCTACAAAGCTTCTGGATAGCAGCCAGTGCCTGACCTTTTGTACCACTCAGAGATTCACTGACTCACTCCATCCTTTAAAATGCTTACCTTTGACTGTTAGATTGAAGCACCCAAGTCTATCACCAGATAAAGAGTCTGCACCACACTGTAACACCACAGCACTAGGTTGATACATCTCCATTACTTTTGAGATAATCTAAATAAAAGATAAAAGATGTCATTATCTCTAACAGTATTTTAAAATTCCATTTCAACTTTGCAAATAGTTAATACTTACTGGCTTAAATATCTGTCCATATGACTCATCATCTATACCATCTCTCATTGGAAAATTCACAGCATAGTATTTCCCCTTTCCCGCGCCAATATCCTAAAGGAAAGTTAAACAGATCTTGGAGAATATGTTAAAATTAAAATTTGATGTTTATTTTTACATTTTATATTAAAATGCCGGGCCATAGCTCCAATTCTAAAGTATTCTAAATTATTTTATAGACTGAGAAAGAATATAGAAATGAAATAAGGCAGACTACAGAAGCACATGTTACAACACTTATGGACTGCTCATAAAACCTAAAATATTCTTATCTAATTAATATTTGACTATTTTTTAGAAGAAATTCAACACTAAGGGCTAATTAAAGGCACACACATAGCAGACCACAAAATTGGGAACTGGGACCTTCAAAACACTTGTGTAAAACCATGGATATCACAACTGGTTCAGCTTACACAAGCCTAACTCTGAAACTGAAAATGAGCAAACTTTCTGTTTAATGACTACAACAAAAACTGATGGGACTCAGATCAGCTGCATACAAAAATATAGACAATGGAAAGTTTTAAAAAATGGAATCAAGATCTCGAAGCATGCCCTGGAATAATTATAAGAGGAGATGAAACATGACTTTAGAGTGTGGTCCTGAAGATAACACACTATCAAAGCAGAGTTGCAAGTGGTCAAGCCAAAGCAAAAGCAAAGCAGTCGAGAGAATAGATCATGGTAATAACTTTTGGGCATACTCAAAGTACTTTGTTGACTTTCTGAAGGACCAAAGGATGAAAACATACTCTGAGTCAGCCAAGGCTTTAGCAGAAAAGCACATGGGAAAGAAAGCTTCACCAGAGTCCTTCATCCACAACAATGTTTCTCATTCCTCTTCAAACAAGGGCAACTTTGAAACAATTTGAGAAACCAGTAAGATTCACCTTAGAGTTCTTATTTAGTTCATTCTGATTTGCTTTATAACCTTAAATGAAATCCTCTCCTACATGTGATCTACCCATTTATAAGGAAAAGGTTTAACCTTAATTTATAGTTTACGAAGAGTACCACCCTGTGGTCAAAAGAAGAAAAGCCACACATGTGAAAATAAGGCATTTTTTAATAAGCTTGTAGTTTTTAAATAACTAAGATAGGATAGCTTGAAAGGAGACCTGGTGGTGTAGTTTTGCTGTTAACTGGAAGTTTGAAATCACCAGCTGTTGTGAAGAGAAAGACCAGGCTTTCCACTCTGGTAATTACCAGTCTCAAAACCCATAGAGGTAGATCTACCCCGTCCCGGAGGGTGGCTATGAATTGGAACGGACTCGATGGCAGTGAGTTTGTTTGGGTTTTCTATAGTTCTGAAAGAAAAAAAAATCTTATAGTAATTCAGAACTAATGCTAAATGACATTGATTCTTTTAGAATCTCCCACATAACCAAACTGAATTTTTAAAAAATAGCTTCAACATGAAGCGTTTGGTTCAAAAAAAAACTTTATGGAAGCAAAGTAATTTCAGATTTGTAGAAAAGGATATGGCAGGCGGTTTTCATCTGTGTAAACTACAATAGCTCCAAATAGAAAAAGTAACAAATAAAATAGAAATAAATATACTTAATGTGCTAGGCAGGAAAAATCTTGTGACCCAAATGCATTTCACTTTGAATGTTTTGTCAATACCATGTGCTTTCATTAAAGGGAGACGTGCTGAATCAAGCAGCATTTCTGATATATTTTATTATGAATTAAGGATTTCAATAAATATTATAATGGGGGCAAGACATCCCTCCAGACTACAGTGGTAAAAATATGTGAGCTATATGACAGGGGACCCCCCCCCCCAAAAACAACCTTACCAGCTTCAGAATACTCTCCATTACACTAATTACACAATTCTGACTCTAAAACTGAAACTGAGAAAACTTTGTCTGCTTATTTGTCAAATCTGTGATTCCACTCTTGGAAACATTTTTCAAACGCATCTGTTTGGATGGCTGACAGCACCTCCCTCGTTTTTTCTTCCCCTCTTCTACATCCTCAAACTGCTGCCCTTTCATGTCCCTCTTCACTCAGAAATAAAAGGAAGTCGCACAGGAGCGAAGCCAGGTGTGTCAGGTACGAAAAACAAGAGGCATGCTGTTTTCCCCCCAAAACTGGCGCGGTGAGATGGCTGCGTGTGCAGGTGCATTGTCGTGGTGGCAAACCAATCCCGTCTGCCACAAATCAGGCCTTTTTTGTAACACACTATTGTCCAATCTTTTCGGAAAGCTTGATTAACAGTCTGACTTGGTGGAATGAACTCCAAATGCACTATCCCCCTCACATCAAAAAAACAAATGAGCATCGGTTTTTTGGTTTTTTGGTGTGTACCCCTCATATGTACTTCTGGACTTGTGGGATTGGGTAGGGTTAGTGGGACACACCCGTCCACTAAACTCTGTTCTATCTTCTGGATACCTTGGTAAACTCATTGCTATCGAGTCGATTCCAACTTATGCCTGAAAAATGTAATATTCTTGAGAGCATAAAATCATCAGAAGAATGATAACTTCCAAATAATGCACAGGAATCCAGAAATATTCTTACAAGGGCTATCTTCTAGTAAAAAAAGTCAAGAGAGACAAACGTTTATAAAATCCCACTTACAGAATGGTGATGTCAGAAGGGTAGGAGGAACTGGGGGAGAGAATGGGAGAAAGAAAGGGGGAACCGATCACAATGATCGACCACATAATCATACACCCCTCTACAAGGGGAAGAACAACAGAAAACATGGGGGAAGGGAGACAGCGGTCGGTGTGAGAGATGAAAATAACAACAATGTACAATCTATCAGGGAGTGATGAGGGTGGTGGGGAAGGGGGAGGAGAAAAAGAGCTGGAACCGAGGGCTCATTTAGAAAGCAAATGTCTAGAAGACAATGAGGGCAACATACGTACAAACATGCCAGATTCAACTGATGTGTGGATTGTGATGAGTTGTATAAGCCCCCAATAAAATGATTTTTTTTAAAAAAGCCCACTTACAGGACCTTACATTAACACTCCATACAAAGCTATTTGTGGTACCAGTGCATTTATTCGGCCTCAGTTCGCAGATCCTTTCCTAAGGTTGCATGCAGTCAAAGGAAAAGCAGCTGCCCAATAAAGCCAAGAGGAGGAAAATGTAGGTAAGTACTATGTAGCCCAGGAGTCACAAAGATCATGTAAAAGGCAGCCAAGATGAAGCTACGCTATCTCCCTTAACTCCTCCATCACTATAAATGTCAGATACAGACTAGGGCGAGAGGGTAGGGAGACAGATGAGGACAGCACACTATGAGTAGTCCTATTAATTCAAGACCAGTCATAAAGAAGAATTTGAGAAAGACCTGGCTATTTTACTGTATCAATATTTACAACCAGCCATGTATAGGTAACCTGTGAGTACAATGTAAAGATTCAAACTGAACATGAAACAGTGTTTTGGGCTTTTTTAAATGTTAAAAAAGTTTTCAAACAAAAACCCAGCAAAAGAACAGTCCCTTAAGTTCTCATTAATTTTGGCCTATACTAAGCAAAACTGAATTCTAAAAAATGTTACAGTTCACATAAAGTGCAAGTTTCAAGTTAATGACGAGAACAATATATTGAAGGTCAATACGATCGAGAGTTTAGGATTACCCTCAAGTCTCCAGTGCCAGGAAAGTATTCCCCATATTTATGGAATGATACAGTCATCACACGATCTGTTGTATAAAAAGCTTCTTCAACACCATCACCATGATGAATGTCAATATCAATATATAAGACTCTCTGATGATATCTGAAAATAAAGTCACGTTGAGTTTCTAAGGTTTTACAATGGGAAGAACAGGCAGCAATCAGAAAGTACTATTTTGAATGCTTGCACTTCAGAATGGTTATTTTTTTAAATTACTTTAAGATTCAGGCACTATTCAAACATTGAAAGGTACATATGAAGGGCTTCAATAAATCTGTGGGGACATTCCATTATCTTTTATTACCATGAACTTTTTGAAGGTTCCCATATGCTCTCCGACCTTTAAATTCCTTCTTTGGGTCTAATGTAGGTGGGATTATGGATTTCCTCCCTATTTTGACTTATTCTCCATGCTTTTGAACATTTCTGTGTATTAGTGACTACAGATTATGATATCATATTTGAGATTATTGTATTCAACTCAAGTAACTTCTTAGTATTATTACACAGGGGTGGACAAACTTCTGACCACAGGACAATTGTGGCAAGCTGCCTTTTTTGTACAGCTTATGAGCCAATATAAGCGTGTGAGTCAGTAAGTTAAAACAAAGGAATGATGTCATGGCATTTGACAAGAACATGACATTCGCTTGAAGTCCACATATAAAGTGTTACTGAAACACAGCCATGCTCACTTGTTTCTGTTGCGTCTCTGGCTTCTTTTGTGCTACAATTCAATCGCCGTAAGAGACCACGAGTGTTACTCTCATCACTTCACCAACAGGAGTGATGTAGTTATTACTTGAATGCATCTGAAGAGTCAGATTTATCAATGTTCTATAACATTCGTTTTTATAAAACTAGTGTAAACCCACAATGTCAAAACAAGAAAAGTAAATTTTGAATGGCATCCTTTTAAAACCATCATTTCTTATCAGTTGAAACTCTTAATTCAAACCTGAATAACCAAATCATTACATATGTGTGTGTATTTTAAAGGGTTCTTAAAAAGGAATTTTAGACACTTCTCACTTTAAGAATCTAATAATTGAATCTAATAAAATGCCTGCACTTTTACATTGGGTTTATAATGAATTCATATAACTCATCATAAACTATGAGAAAAAAAAGAAAGCTAACACACAGGTCCTGTGTTTCAATCAGAACATTTTATCACAGGGAAAGAATCAATATAATCTAACTTACTTTAGTAATTCAAGGATGGCAAGCACAATATCATTAACATAACAGAATCCTGAGGCTTCTGATTTCTTAGCATGATGTAATCCTCCAGCCCAGTTAACAGCCATATCAGTTTGTTGTCGGTTTAACTTCACCGCCCCAGCTAAGGCACAGAAACAAGTCAAGCTACAATTTTAACATGATTAAGATAAAAATTCAATAAAATCAGGCAAAGGTGCAATATGAATATGCCATGTGTAAGTACATTTTAATTTTTCTAAAGTTTAAGTAAGAAGGTCATTATAAAAGGTAAAAAAGATTGCTAGGTTACTACTAGAAGCAGTTTCTCCTTAGGCAAATACTGTTTCATAGTGTGACCCTGCCCTCCCCAAATTACTAAGGATATTCACAGAAAAAGAAATGATGGTTAATCATGGTCACAAGGAGGAGGTGTGGTAGAGGTGAGTCTCTTAAGTGAAAACACAATATAAACTAAAAAGTTAAATATAAAGTTTGAGTCATTATGTTCATAAAACCGGGAAACTTTAAAGACAATTGTAGCCAAGTATATGCATTCGGATTCCTTTTTGTTAATAAAATCTACAGCTATTTAAAATTCTACTTTTAACAAATGACCTCCCTGAAAGAAACCCATAGTAATTTTAAGTATGATTGTATCAAGACTTACCAACTGAGCCACCTGTTGAGAGCTGACAAAACTCAAAGAGTCCATCAAACACTGGGCAATCCTCTCCAACATTAACTATAGAAAAAATGTTTCATTAATTTCTATCCATTTTGTAATTTAAGAAATCTTCTTCTTACAAAAAAGAATGTCAACAAATACTATTTCTTTTCATTTCACATAATCTTTAAAACAAATTATAATAGTAACTTAAGGTTGGCGTGTAAATTATTTTACCTAAGATGAAGCAAAAAGGGGTCTCAAAAAAGCTCATAGAAATGTCCCAGTATCTTTCAAATTGTATTTTCCAAGTAAAATTTTGAAGCCCCCCTTGTAATTATACATGAAACACCATCTCTAAGTTCTTGAGAAAATTATCTATAGAACACCTGCCTCTACCAACAAATCAATTATGCAAAGAGAAGTATTTGCTTTTAATCTGACTAAAACATGGGCTTAGTTTTATAGGTATGTCTACTCAAAGAAGTATGATACACTTACATACATACATACATACATTCTAAGATACATAGACACACCACAGCATGTTAGTTCAATGAAGTTGCTTACTAACAAAAGAACGATGTTTATAACTATCAACTCGACCCTCACTCTCCGAACTACTTCTTCCAAGAAACCTGGTCACTATTTAATATAGCTTAGTACACCCTTAATTTCAAAGCCTTTAGCACGAAATAAAATAAAAAACAAATCTTAATTTCTTACTGCTCTGCTATGATCATAAACCTCATTATGTATACACTTCCAGTCCTGCTTATTCATTTGTTCCAGAAGTACTCCATATAAACATAAAAATAAAACAGGGACTACAAAAACTCTAATCCAATGGTATCATAACATTTTGGTAATTCAAATCTGTTGTGGAAATAAAAAGTTCTATGACTATATGAAATACCTAACTAATATATTAAAATTATCTTTGAAAAAAATCATCGCAAAAGTTCATCAATGAAAACAAGCTCCAGCCAAAAGCTTTAAAAATTCTTTAAGGATGTTATTTGGTATTCCATCTTCAAAACATTTTAGCAATCTCTATAGTAAAATACTTGTAAAGTTTTCAAATAGAATACAATACAGAAGCGAACTGAAAGCTTCACTAATATCACAACCAAGGGGGAAAGGGATCACACATACTACAGTCAAGATTAAGCACACATATGGAAGATAAACAGTAAAAATCAAGTTAAGGTCAATAAAAGTAGACCTTAGAAAATGGACCAATCAATAGAATTTTTTTTTTAAGTCTAGACTAAGATCTCCTCTACCAATATTCATTTCCCACAGCATCATCCAGAAGTTAACGTGTAGCCAACATAAAGAGTAGAGGAACATCCAAGCAGCTCTTTGGCAGATAAACAGGCTGCAGGTAGGATTTTTGGCTTTTAAAGTAGCTTTATTAGTACTTTTATTCTGAGGAACCCAATGAGTACATTGAAGTAAATTTTTTAGATCAATAAGAAAAAGGTTCAGATATTGGTAACTTCTAGTTTCTGAAATGCTCATTTATATATACCAATAATTAAATATACTTTCAATATAAAAACTTACATCTCTGCATCTGCTTACTGTACTCAGACATGTTATCTGGTCTTATTGAACGTAGAAATTTGATGTACTCGTCACTGTGATATTTTGTCATTTCTTCAGCAGTGGCTTTATGGGGCCTCTGTAGAAAAGTTAAGTGTCAGAATCGTGAAATTACAATTGTTCTAATCAAGCAAAAATCATAACAACAAAATCCCATCTGCCATCAGGTTGATTAAGACTAATCCTGACCCCTGAGAGGACTTAAGTAGAACTGCCCCAAGGGTTCCCACGGCTATCCATCTTTACAGGAGCACACACAACCTCATCTTTCGGTCACGGAGCTAGGAGGTCCACAGGGCAAACCTCAAATTGTGAACATCAATACTAAACCCACTGCACCATCATGGCTCCCCTGCCCCCCGCCCCCCCACCCGCCGACAGTCCTCTTAAAATGTTTAAGTCCTCCTGAACAAAATATCACGTTTCAAACGACTCTAAATTTATACATGTGTAATTTAGAAAACAGTAATCAATTCAAAAATTAGTTTCAAATACCTTTAGTCAGGCTTACGCTAAATATAAATTAATCATTACTTAATTTTAGTAATGTTTCAATTTTGTATGGAGTCAAATCCATGCTTATAAACTTCAGTTTTCCTAACTTTCCATTATACACATTCAGCTCTATATCCAGTGATTTCATCACTGGTTTCCCCAAATGAGGATCATTCTCAATTCTAAGTCTTTGTTCACAATGTTCCTTTTTCTTTGCCTATCCTAATTAGCCTTATCTTAAAGAGCTCGATTTTATTTATCCATCTGCTTTATGTTTTTTTAATAAATCATTTTATTGGGGGCTCTTAAAGCTCTTATAACAATCAATTGTATCAAGCAGATTTTACATATGCTGCCATCAACATTTTCAAAACATTTTCTTTCTACTTGTTATCCATCTGCTCTCTAGGAAAGAACCATGACACCGATTCTGCCTAACAATGCTAACTGCTTTAAGTCTTTCTTTCTACCCAAATAAATAGGAATTGTTGTGTGTTGTACTTTATATACACTTCAGCCCATCTCCAAAAACATTTAAAGGAGCTGTTCAATCTTACATTGTTTGTATCCTGCTTGACCCCTAATGATACATAAAGTGCATGCTCAACACATATCTGTAGAACTGTCCAAGAAATTTTTTCGCAATTATTCCAGATCAACTTTTTCAACAGGTACCATCAACAAGATCTGTGACAGATATTGAGTCAGATAAGCTGAGTTGTTTCCCAGAACTATGAAGCCTGGGACTGAGGAATTCCTTTGAAAATGGTAGAAAGGAGGAAAAAAGAGGCTACAGCAGTAACCACAATCAGTTTTCACTAATGAATAAATAATAAGATGTTTTCTTCTAAATTGTTTCATCTGCAAGATTATAGCTATTCCATGAGCAACTTAAAAAAAAGTCAACAGTTTCAGAATAATAGAATAAAAAAGAATCAAGGTGATTATCCATTATGAAAAGGTACACTTACATATATTTCCATTTTTCTATATAAGCCATAATTTAGCAGCAAGTTATGGGTCATACGGATCCTGTGGGGTTTCATAGGATGACCCTGTCCATAATAGTAATTTCCAATATCACCTGAAATAAATAATATAGGCAAGAGAATCATTAAGAACTATCTGAATTAAGGAACATTTGTCAATAAAATGCATTTGTTGGTTCACCCACTGATTTTAGATTCTACAATCTTCAAACTTCGGGAAACCTGAAGATCATATGCATACTTATACATACTGGTAATATTTATTTGTTGATTTAGAAAAAGTTATTTGTAATTCTTGCAATTTACTTGAGTGGGCCCAAATAAAACACTATTTTAAAAGTGGTTTTTGTTGCTTAAAGTTAATACTTGCCTTTAGTATTCTCTGGTAAATTGAAATCCTTAAAGTAAATACTCTGAGTTTTATATAGCTCAAAATTTCACTATCAAATATTGCTTCTTCAATGATTGACTGACATCTCTGAAATTCTTTATAAACTGACATTACAGGGATTAAAATGTTCTCAGTATAGTCTATAAAGGAAGTCTTTGGGAACTTAAGACACACACATGATATTTTTTATGGAAATAGAGTACTCATTCTTTAATCATGAGAAAGTTCTACTTCCTTATTTTACATCTTCCATCCCAGTACCTTAAAATTTATACCCAAGACTTATTTTATAATAAGCAAACAATACAAAATCACTACTTCTCATTCACTAACTTCCAACAGAATCAGTTTTTAAGTTCTCTAATAGTGGTAACCAACAATTTTTAAATATATATATAATTTTTCTAATATCATGGCACTGCACATTTTCAAAAGCCTTTATTAAGTTAGAAATTACTTTTAATACCGACACTAGTCTTTGGATAAGCATTCTAAATTTTGTTGGGAAAACCAAGCTGATTTTAATGAAACCCTCCAGAGTTACAAAATATCATGTACCTAAACTAAATAAACCAAAAATCAAAATCACTGCCACCGAGTCGAGCCCTGCCGACTCCTAGCCATCCTTACAGGACAGGGTAGAACTGCCCTATGAGTTTCCAAGACTGCAACTCATCATGGGAGTAGAAAGCCCTGTCCTCCTTTGGAGGAGTGGCTGGCTGATTATTTGGAACTGCTGACCTTTTGGATCACAGCCCAACACTATGCCACCACGGCTCCTAAATTAATGAAAGGGGGGTTATTTTTAAGGTAGCTATTACATCAAAAGAATTACTACGATAAAATGCTTCCACATGTACTATACTTTAGTTATGGGCATACTGAGTATTCAATGGACAATCATCAAACCCCTGCCACTGAGTCATTTCTAATTCATAATGGCTATAAATCTTTTAAGATTTCTCCTTCACCGAAAGCCATAAACTTTAATAGGAGACGATTTTCTAATCATTTGACCATCACTGAATATTAAACTACAAGGGAGACAAAACTAAAATTTCTCATCAAATGCATCTCAGGGAAAAATGATAGCAGTAATTAATATGTATTGAGCACTTAAGATAAACTGTTTTTTTAAGTATTCACATACATTATCTTTAATCTTCTCAACAACCCAATTGCTATTATTATTCTTATATTAATTATAGTTGAAGAAAGTTTAAGGCCAGTCAAGTAATTTTTCCAGTCATACAGCTAGCAGGTGGCAGAGCTGGATTAAACCCACAAAGGGCAACTCTTATCCAATGCTCTCAGAAGGAGCTACTGGAAGAGGAATGGCACTTATAGCCACTTAGAGAAAAATAGGGCTTAGGGGGAGGCTTGACCAAGGCTACAATATGGAATATAATTTTAAATAAAGGCTTAAGGTCTTACTTTATAGAAAAATAAACAAATTACCCACCCTAAATCCTCTAATGTAATTTACTTTTTTATTAAAAGGAACCTCAGAGTTACATGAATGCATGTAACTGACTAGTAGTATTGTACAAGTCCCATTCCCCAAGTAACACTTGTCTATGTCATGCCAAGCTAATAGTGGAATTTCACATGTAAGAGACTGTGTAAGAATCATTTTCAACTTTTCTTCTTCTTACTTAATTCCATGCCTCAAAATTTTCTAGGTAGAATGCTTAGCAATCATACAAATTAATACAGATAAAATATTTCTAATAATTTTAAGAATCTTATGGGGACTTTGATGACTATGAGGAGGCCAGAGACAAGAGCGAGAACAGGGTGGGGGCAGAGATAAGATATTGAGGAGGGAAGGAGGAGAAAGTGAACCCCATTTATATACAGTGTGTTTCTTAAAAGAAAAAAAGTAAACAGACAAACAAAACATAAAGTCCTTCCAGATTCCTATCCCTTGGACGTAAATATTGGTCTGAGTAGGAAAAAAATAAAAGTGGGGGGGGAGGGCGGTGCAGTAAAACGGAAACAGAGTTGGGAGTCTTTAGTGACAAGTCCACTCAAACATAGAGGAAAAAGAATCTTATGGGGTTTTGTCATCTCATTTAAGTAATTAAATGTGGTCATTTTTGTTGTCTGCTTTTCATCAAAATACTTTAAAAGACTTTTTAACATAAAGGCTTAAGATTTGAATTTATAGAAAATGAACAGAATGGAATACCTACTATTACCTTGGCAGCTCTTGAGACAAATACAAGTATCACAGTGATATAGACATCCAAAAAAAAAACACAAAACAGTTCAAGGTGGTTCCTTGAATGAACAGACTTTGCCAGGGTGAAGAAATAATTAATAATCAGCATTAATTTTAGGAACAGCTCGTTCTTTAGCTATCAGAAGTAGCTATATAAGGTATACAACCTCTTCTCCCAAACTCTTGAGACTAAGCATGTTTCATATTTTAGATTTTAGTCTACTAGCAAAATTTAACAAGACTGAATTCCTTGAAACATTCTCAATCTTGGCTTCCACATACTTGAACAAAACAGAAACACTACACAACCCTGTTACCATGAAGTCGACGTGACCATGTGTCAGAGTAGAACTATCTTCCATAGGATTCAATTGCTAATTTTTCAGAAGTGGATCGTCAAGCCTTTCTTCTAAGCCACCTATGGATGGACTCAAACCTCCAACTTTTGGGTTAGCAGCCAAGCCCCCATTAACCACAACCAACTCTGACAACCAGTTGATTCTGACCCATAAAGACCTTATAGAACAGCATAGAACTGCCCCTTTGAGTGTCTGAGACTTGAAATCTTTATGGGAGCAGACAGCTTCATCTTTCCCCCTAAGAGCAGCTAGCTGGTAGGTTTGAACCAATGACCTGTGGTTAATAACTAAACGCATAGCCCACTTCCATCACCAGGGCCCCTTTAGTGACTCCTATTACTACACCCTCCAGGATTTTACAACCCATGACTATTCCTCCTCCAACTTTTATTTAAATATTATAGGGTCATCACTATAAGTCAAAATCAACTGGATCAATGGTCCTTAACCTTCCTAATGCTGCAACCCTTCAGTTCCTCATGTTGTGGTGACACCGTCCCCAAGCATAAAATTATTTTTGTTGCTATTTCATAACTGTAATCTTGCTATTGTTATGAATGGGGTGACCCCTGTGAATGGGTCAGTCAATCCCCAAAGAGGTCGTGACCCACAAGTTGAGAACCAATGAATTAGATGGCCGTGAGTGAGGGGTTTCTCTAGTTCATTTATTCATTTAACAAACTGTTCTAGGGAACAAGACACTCTCAAAAACATACTCACTGCCATCGAGTCAAAGCTGACTCACAGCAAGCCCCTGTGGGTTTCTGAGACCATAACTGTATGGGTGTGAAAAGCCCAGTCTTTCTCCTGAGGGGCTGCTGGTGGCTACAAGCTGCTGACCTTTTGGATCACAGCCCATCTCATAACCACTATATCATCAGGCTCCTATTTGGGAACGAGACTTATGTCTAAATCCTCTTCTTGAGTCCTAGGTCCTTTTGTTTATCAATAACATCTTTTTTCTGTCTCAATACTTACCAGGCTGATGAACCTCAAATTTCTATGTCTAGCCTTTCCTCCCTGAACTCCATCCTCTGACAAAATTCAACTTTCTCAGCAATATTTTCACTTAAACTTAAAATGAAGTATTTCAAGTAACACTTGAAACAGAGATCATGATAATTCTTCCCCATTTCAGTAAGTGGCTTTACCACCCCCTCCAAACTTCTTATTCCAAATGCACGAAAAGCAGAGAAACGCATGGGGCATGACTATCTCTCTGCTTCAACCCATCAACACCTATTTGTTTTGCTTCCAAAAGCCCTCTTAAATCTGCCCATTTCTATTAGCTGCAAGCATTTTATGCAGACCAGTGTATTCCGCATGAAGTCACCTCCCTGCCCACAGCCTCCCATTGTTGTGGTGTGCTGTCGAGTCAGTTCTGAAAGCAGCACTCCTGTAGGGTTTCCAAGACTGTAATCAGTACGGAAGCAGCCAGCCACCTCTTTCTCCCAGAGTGGCTGGCAGGCTCCTATTGCTGACCTTTCGGTAAACAGGCTAGCATACTTAACCATTGCTTCTCTAAGGCTCCTTTCAACACTCCTTACCAATTCTTTTTTCACTCACGAGTGTCCTCTACTTAAAACCATACAGTTCTTTTTACTCTCGGAGTTTGATTCTAAATCCATGACCAATATCTTATGTGGTCAGCCCCTGAACATCCAGTTTAGCATCTCATGGTCCCCTATTCCTTTCTGCTTAAGTAATACTAACGTAAATACCAGTGTTTTAAACCTACCAATTGCTCCTGATGTTTCCATAAAGAGTAAAGACTTGGCAACTTTATGGGCACTTTTTTATGGCAATGGATTTCTTGATTTCCTATTAAAAAAACTCCCTAGACCTGGTATGTCTTATGCCAGAAATGCTTCACTCTTATTTTAGGCTTCCCCTGGTTATCCAAACATAAACTCACCTAACTCACTGCCATCAAGGCCCTGTCCAATGCTCTAGAACTTCTTTTCCATCTCACAATTGAAGCAAGCTTTTACCTCGGCATATAGGAGACTTTAAGAACATCTGGTATCACTGAACCCAGAGCTGACTTGATGAACAGATAACACAAGTATTCCTGTATGGTTCCAGTTCACACATGCATGAGGTCTATCCCAAAC